GCCAGTGGGCGATCGACGACCATACGAAGAGAGGGGATATTACCGAGTGCGCCTACTATAACGATAGGAAGGGGAAGAGAGCGCGCGAGCAGTGCGCCGTCTGGCGTGCCTGCCGACAGTCTACTGCTTTCCGAGAAGCACGAGGCGATTCCGTGTATCGAGCGCACTCCCCTCCTCTTCCCTTCCCTCTCCTACTATCTCCCTCTCTCTCTCCCTTCACAACCGAGGAGGATCCGTGAGAAAGAGAAAGAGAGAGAGAGAGAGAGATCACGAGTACGACGAAGAAACCTTCCCTCAGGGACGACGAGCTTACTATTACTCTCCTTACGACTATTGTCCTCTCTCTCTCTCTCTCTCTCTCTCCCTCCCTCCCTCCCTACTTTTTCTTTCTTTTTTTTTCTTTTAAAATTCATTTGCTTTAATCGTCGGAATCGACTCGTTTTATATGTTGCTTTAGAGCACGTTAGAGCACTATTCTAATCGTGGCCTTGCACCCTTCCTTCCTTCCTTCAAGAGAATTAGAAAAACAGACGATCATCGCGACGTAATAATCGGAGACACCCCGAAGCTATTCCGAGCGAGAATCCTTGCGATTAACGATCGAGATCGCTTTCTACGCCGGTCTATTTTTATACGAGTCCCAGAGCTATTTTTGGCGGTAAATTTGAAGCCAGAGGAAGACGATCGTAATCCGCTTTATTTATCCTGGGCCCGTAAAAGCCAAGGACAAACGTCCGTCTCTTCTATCGTCGTCGTCATCTCGTATATGTTCCTTCGCGTGCTTCGTGTGCTTCGAACTTCCTTTTTTTTTTTTTTTCTTTTTTTTTCTTTTTCTTTTTCTTTTTCTTATTCCCCTCGTCGAGGACGAATCAAGATTTATATCCATTAGATAGGCGTAATCTATCTATGGCGTAATCCATGCATCCTTTTCTGTATCGAAAGAGGAATACTTTTTTCATGGACTTTGTTCCCAAATCGTATACGATCGTTCCGTGATCGCGTTCGATGACGAATATATCGAAAGAGGACAAGAAGAATTTCTTTGCTACTACCTTGATCGTCTTCCTTGAAAACTTTCTCTCGCTTCTCTATCATTTCTCTCTTCTTACTCTTACTTATTCTACCAAGCCCTATAATCATCGTAATCTATTCGTCTATATAAATTTGCTATAAAGAAGGAGATG